ATTAAGTGTGTGAAATTAATATGCAATGTACGTAACACATATACTTTGCATGTGTTCATCGGGAAGATTATGAAACAAAATGGACGGTGTGTACCACGTGACTTTCGTAAACCAAGGAGCAGAATGTCGCAACTCTTTATATATATATGGCTCTGGATAGTGCGAAATGATTGGCTGAATCAATGGCAGCCATCTTGGATGGTACACCCACTCCACATCTCTGCGTATTTCGAACATCGAATACATTGCTGTTAGCGCTCTAGTATTCTTATTATATCTCTATGGTACCATCCAAGATGGCTGCCGTAGGAAAGCGCCACCATCAGGCTTAATATACATATTATTACCATAAATATGCTTTACTGAACTTTCTGTGTAAATTGAGGACGCAATTGAAAATGATAGTGCTCAGGGGAAATTTGATTGGCTGAATCTATGGCAGCCATCTCGAGTTTCAAACATACGGGTGACTAGCTTTACTGAACGTTCTGTGTACTGAACTGAACTTTATTGAACATATACGCTTTTAGATCAGCGGCACACATCAGAATGATGGCGCGTTCACAAAGGAAACATAAGCAAAATAAAGCAAAACAAAGAAAAACAACGAGCAAAACAAAATATGAAAGTTCTAAACAAAGGAGTATAAAAAAGTAGTTTAATACAGTATTTTACTGGTATTTGGAAATACAACAGTTAGCTAAGACCTTCTCACTAATAATGCTATTATTAATGATATTAATATTATTATTGTTAGTATTATTATTATTATTACTACTACTATCATTACTGTATAGTAATTTTTATTTCATTATTATTTTATAATTGTTCTTATAATTTTTAACATGGTCATATCATTTGTTACCGTCAACATTATTAATTTTATTCCAGGAACTAATGTTACTAATTAAAAATATTATTATTGTTATTATTATTATTATTATTATCTTGTATGAAATTTTTCATTAGTGTTGATCCAGCAAAATAAAAACCAATAGTACTCACACTACGTTTCGCGAACGATCCGTTCGCTTTTTCAAGTAGACTGGTGATGTTATTTCCAGTCTGGTCTGACGTCACCTCGGTGTCTGTCTCTTATACACATCTGTGGTAGACAACCCCTCTTAGTGTTGTGGTTCAATATGATATCATCATAGATATGTGATAGAATGTGTCCTCCTTCATCTCTGTTCATAGTATCTGTTGTTTTTCTAATCCATAAAGATTCTCTGACTTTTCGTTCAAACCATGAGCTTTCTTCCTGTAATATTTTTATGTCCCAATTTGGAATATGATTTAGCTGTGTAGCATGATCGGTGATTGCAGATTTATTTAAAATTTTGGAATCGGACAACCTTGCTGATCTTGTTCTGATTCCTACTGTGTTCTTTTGAACATCTGTTTGATGTTCCTGAATCCTGGTTTTAAGTGATCTTCCTGTTTCACCAATATATTCTTTTCTGCAATTTAAGCATGATACTTGGTAAATGCAGCCACAGGTTTCCTCTTTTTGTATTTTGTCTTTAGGGTGGACTAGTTCTTGTCTGATCTTGTTTTGTGGAATAAAGTAAGTGTTAATTTTGTGTGTTGCTAGTGTTCTCTTTATCCGTTCGGACATCCCTTTAACCTTTAACAAATGTTAAAAAAGAAAAAAAATAACAATAATAGTATAATATAGAATGAAAACTCGGCACAGAATCAAAGATAACTACTGTATAATAAAATAATAATAAAGGTTGTTACGTATTTAATTAGTGGGCGGTATATCATTTAATGTAATTGTTCTGTATTTCCATATGCAGTTAAGTACTGCTTACAATGATGATCAACAATTAACAATTCCTCCGATTCTATCATAAAGAAATTTTGAATAAAGGTCGTCAAGTAAAATGTGGTGTTTAAATTCAACTGATCCACTTTCAAAATCATCCCAGAATTCTTTGTATCCAAAATACATTAATTCGTTCTTAAGGTCGTCAAAATATTTATCTCTAATATTGCTAAGGCTTGTACATTGAAATAGAAAATGATAAGTGCTTTCGATGCTATCATTATTACATAGTTTCCAGTAACCAGTGTTTATCATTAGACCATGCACATTTCTTCCTTCTAGATTCAATGGGTTAGTCCTTGCTTTAAACTTTAAACTAACAGATTGAAAAATCAGCTTATCAAACAGATATGTTTCTGCTTTTGGTAAAAGTTTGTATCTCATATATTCATTCAATGTTGATTTTGTTTTGGCCCTTTCGGCCCATTTCTCGGTACCGTATTATCCATTGAGTTTTCATGAATAAAACATTTTAGCCATAATCTACCTTGATCTAAATTAAAGTTATCACTTAATTCGAATTTCTGTAATAATTCTTTTATGTGATTAATCCATTTCCATTTCAGATTATTTTCTACCTCCATTAATGATTTACACAGAATCTTTCCATCTACACTCATCCATATTTTTTACTCTATTGAAATAGCTCATCCTAAATTTATCTTGAATGTGGTAGATAGATTCCCAACCTAGATCTCCTAGAAGCGCTTCTTTTGCTACGTTTCTAGGAGCCTTATGGATGATTCTAGCCATTCGATATTGTAGATTGTCAAGCTTATCGACAGAGCTGTTACTATTATATAAACCATACCGAACAAGCATAGTTTATAGTCCGTAAGCCTATTGTCTTCCATAACAGGTCCCCGTAATACACCCTATTAAAATCTTCTTGGTTGTTTATAATGGAAGTAATATAAGCGATTATTCTGTTTCCTTTCTTAACTACCTCATCAATAAATTTTTTTGCCGCATCAATTATTTCAACAGCATACAAATAACAATGCAATTTTGTGACTTCAAATACATTTTCTTTAAAAACTATAAAATTAAACCAGTTTTTATACAATATTTACTATTACTAGCCAAATATAAACAGTCTCTCCCTCATCGATAAAAACAAAAGCGAAATAATCTATTATTCCGATTTAAAAAAAAACAAACAAACAAAAAACGCCCTCCCTCACCATTTGTTTTTTAAAAGAGTGATAATCTAATAATGTTTTCTATGTGCCCTTACGCCCTTCTTCACATACACGTACTTGCTAACTTCTCCATTGTATCTGAGAGCATCCTGGTCCCAGTACAAGTTTTTGATCAGTTCTACTTCCTGGTCATCAAGTGCAAACATCATATCAAATCGGTTCATGCTTGACTCGTTCAAAAGCCTTGACGTAGTCAATAAAGGTTCCATTTATGAGAACAAGGGCTGGTGGCAGTTCGTTTTCTGTCATCGGACCCTAATATTGGACGAACTGCCCCTTCCAATCCGTAAATCATTTTCACTAAAAAATTCAACTCAACGAGTTTTCTCCTTGAAAAATGTGATTTTGCCTACTACACAAGGGTCCGTTTCAGACCTGTTTCTTGATATCTTAGTTGTATAATATTTTTTTTTTTACACATTTTGATGTATAGGCGATGTTATTATTGATGTTGTGATGATAAGCGCTTTGGAAAAAGCGCCATTGCTTTATCGTAGAGTAACTTGTATCCGTGCGATCGGGTAGTTATTGTATACTGTTGTATGCTTTTGGCGGATCATATGGAAGATATAACATTTTATGGCATCATTTTTGGAGATTGACTTGCAGAGTGATTCGTCAAGCCACATTGTTTTATTTACCATTTTATTCATTTTATCAATTGAAAAAATACAAAACAATAATAGATCATGAATTGGATATTAAAAGAGGAAAGTATTTTAAAAAAATTGTACAAGCTTGTGGACCCAATGTACAGGCGAAAACGAAGATTTTCAAGATTACTATCAATTTCAGGCTTTAAAGAACATGAATTTAGACAAAAAAAACACGTTTTATTTTTTTTAATTACAATAGAAATGAATATCTTGTAGTACCCTAGTATCTAACAATTTCTCTCTTTATAATTTGATATAATTATATTAGTACGGTATTATTCTGCTTACTATTTTTATAATTCTTTTTCTAATCAAATAGTAATATTTATAGTTTTTTTGGCCTTTTATATTCAATATATAATATTCAAAAACTTTTAGTTTTAACGTCCCTTACAGAAATTAACATTTGTACAATGAAAGAGGATAGGCCTATGTTACATAATTTAGGTTTCTATTACACATATGGACATAGCATTTACGTTACTTTCTCCTCGTAATTAGTTCATAAAAAAATCATCAGTTTTACGTATTAAATTCTAAGCCTTTAAAAAAATACTTGTTATAGCATTA